AAATAAACTTCGGTTAAAAAAATACAAAAAGTTAGACAAGCAATACAAAATAAAAACTGATCCTTTTTTGAAACACTTACAGGCGAAAAAGTCGGAATTATGCCCGTAATTCTCAAGTCTCTCGATCAGAACTCAACTTTTGAGTAATAAAAATATCATATTTGGAATCGGGATCAAAAACACGAACTAACATATAAACATTTAGGCCAGAAGAACGCTAAAAGAAGGGCAGGCATGCATCCGTTGGTCTCCGCCTGGATTGCGCCACTGGTATTGCCAGGACAATGAATAGAGAAGGTAATTCTCAATAATACGAGACTGCAACGCATACCAAAGGGGGCTGAGTTTCTGCCTATATTAAAGTCAATTCTGACAAAGACGACCTGCTCCAAAATTATTGATGGAGTAAATCTCTTGAAAGAGATAAGTGATAACCTTAAAAAGGTTCTCAAAAAATCCTCAAAAAATTGTGCTTCGAAATGTTTAGTGCATTTTGAGTTTTGGGTGGGGTTTGCTGATGTTCTTTAGTTTATACTTATTTTCAAGTTCAAATTCGTCATTAGCGTCAAAAACTGCACTGAAGGACACAGATATTTAAACTTATCTGGGATGGATAAAATATAACACTTCTGTATTTTTATCGTAGAAAAGTGTCTTTTTCGGTTACATCTGTCATATATTTCTCTCTTTAGCAAAACATCCCTCTGTGAAGACTGCTGTTCGATTTCACTAGCACTCTCATGAACGGCTTTACCACTACATTCTGCATGCATCTGATAGACTAATCGTCTTGTTATCTGCAGTTAATTTTGCATCAAAAGGTTGACCTCCTGAAAATGGATTGTGCATACTAAGAGGTGACAGAAAAAGGTTTGAGCTTTTATTGAGCTTTTTATACTCTTAACAGCACTAGTATAAACAAATTTTAACAACTTACCGCAACTCGCGAACTAACATTAAAACATTTAGGCCAGAAGAACGCTAAAAGAAGGGCAGGCATGCATCCGTTGGTCTCCGCTTGGATTGCGCCACTGGTATTGCCAAGGGAACGAATAGCGAAGGTAATCCTCAATATAACGATACTGCAACGCATACTAGAGGGGGCTGGGTTTCTGCCTATTTTGAAGTTAATTTTGACAAAGACGACTTGCTCCAAAATTATTGATGGGGTAAATCTCTTGAAAGAGATAAGTGATAACCTCAAAATAATATGAGAAATGATCAACAGGTATCATCGCTGTCTAATCAAGCTCAATTCACATCTCGATTCACACTTTTTCTTAACTTGCTGGTGCTCTTTAATTTATACTTATTTTCAAGTTCAAATTCGTCATTAGCGTCAAAAACTGCACTTAAGGAGACAGATACTTTAAACTTATCTAGAATGGGAAATCTGTTTCAAATCTTTTAAGTCGACTGAGCGTCACATATTCAGGCAGCTGGTTCTTTCTCAGGTTCTTTTAAATCTAGATTTTTCTTAGCGACGATTTAGATAGTATTTTTTTCCATTTTAGCTGTTATTTGTGATCAAATGAAAAGACATATTAAGAAGAAATGGTTTATAGTACGATTGCTTTATCGAGATTAAAAAAAATAAGCTTTTTTGTTCAACTTTGACGAATTAATAAAGCAATGGACGTTATCATAATGCAATACAAGTAATAATAATTAGTTGATGTCGTCATTCCACTAACACTATTGCGAACGGCTTTACCACTACATTCTGGATGCACCCCGTTATCCAGAATAATCGTCTTGCTATCTGCACTTAATTTTATGGCAAAAGGTTGACCTCCTAAATATATTATTGTTGTATATCCAGTTGGTTTAACTACCTGCATTTCAATCTCCTTTTCTGAACCACATTGACCAGCTAATGGAGCGGATAGTTTAAGATGATTTGCATCCTGTTCACTAATTTTCACATTTCTATTTAGACAACAACATAGCTGTTGATTGCATGTGTTATCTGTTTTAAATGTGCCAATCCATGGTGAAGACTGTTGACCATGAATAGAAACAAATACAACTATTAATAGCCACACTGGTAACATTTTTGTCAGGTAATCGTCTAAGGACAGAACAGGCAAACTATACTTTCATTGAAAATATCAATAATAACTTATGCTTACCGTTTTCACGGAAAAAATTTTCTTCCAAAACTTTTATTAGTACGTGTACATGAAAATGAATGCGGTTTATACATTTACTTTATTATATAAATAACTTCACACTCAATAAGAGAGAAAGCGAGTCAATATTAGAGTTAATAAACACGTTCTGTGAGATCTGTGAAAGTTAAGACAAAATCAATATCTTCATACTTCGAGTTGAAAATCGAAGATATCGATTTTGTGTTGACTTGATAGATTTCACATAGCATTTTTATTGACTCGAATACTGACTCTCTTATTAGTTGGGCGGAAGATCATTGAATTTCGTTTATTTATCCAATAACTGGTTTTATTTTCATATTAGTATGTTAATTTACCTA